CGTTTCGCTAACCATGTTAGCATCATCAGCAGATGATTATAAACTAAAGTACAATCTACAAGTTGAGCGTTTATATACTCGCCCAGTGGGCACCGAGTAGGCGTGGCAAAATCTAGCCAACCGAGTCAGAACCCACTGAGCGTAACAGTTAGATTTCCGCCACTAGAGTAGTAGGAACAAGTCTCAAATTACAGGCAATTAGATGCATATGAAAGCATCAGAATTAATAAATGTAAAGATAGTATGAACAGAGACAACGGTCCAATTCCTTCAAGTTCTTTGTTCCTACTACTCTAGTGGCGGAAATCTAACTGTTACGCTCAGTGGGTTCTGACTCGGTTGGCTAGATTTTGCCACGCCTACTCGGTGCCCACTGGGCGAGTATATAAACGCTCAACTTGTAGATTGTACTTTAGTTTATAATCATCTGCTGATGATGCTAACATGGTTAGCGAAACGCGCGTCCAGTGTAAAAGTAAAAGTGTTTTGGTCAATAATCAAGTACTCGAGTTTCAAGCGATTTCAATAATTGAGCGAAATATCGCTCGTATCTAAAAATAGGGTTTTTCGATAGTCGCTTGTTGTACTCGTAACGCCAGCAGTAAATTGCGTGCGCCGACCAGATATTCTCTCGATGAATGGCAATTAGCAAGCGATTCGCTTGATTTCTGATTTAATTTATTTCAAAGCATTGTCGATGTAGGTTGTAAAATTTTGTCACTCAGATATGCAACGGATAACGTCGTATAAATTTGCTACCTGCAATGTATATAGAAAATTCGCTCGGCTTTTTATCGAGTATGTCACATTAAAATCGGATTTCAATTTATTCCATCCTAGGATTGATTGCGTTCGTCGCTCGTAACTCGTCATAATCGAGCGATGTCGGTCATTTCAAAAAAAAATCGAAATTTCGCTCGAGTTATCCCATCACTATTAGATACCCTATATTATCCACATAATATGCAAATATAATATATTACCTGTTGAATTTTCAACAAGAAAGCGATACTACCTCGTTCAAGTTTTTTTTTACGATCTAATAATAAATTCAATCAGGATCCATGATCCTATAAAAAAAACCTTACTTCTCCAACCGAGATATATATTTTCCTCCCCAGACGTTTCGTATGTTCTCCCCCAGATTCGCTAGGCCCCAAAATTGTCTACTTATATCAAGTTCCAGCCTCGGAAAATCTATACTTAGGGGTGTTCGTATGTCCTCCTACTCTGCGTCTTTGTCTCTCGGTTTTTATCTTACCTCAGTCGGCAGTAAAGCAATGTAGTGGAAAATTCCTCTGGTTAGAAGAGATACCTTTTTTTTATTGGAACAGGTATATTTGTAATTTATTTTAGATGGAAAAAAATATACCCACGGTTTCGGCGAGTTAACAGAAAATGAGTTATACTAATATATAAAATCCTTAAGTGACTGACTCACTGATTAATCACGATCCTGCTCAAACGACTCAAAGTAAGAAGTTCAATTTTGGCTTACAGGTTGATTCTAGGGTGTAGAGGTTCGATACGAAGGGATTTTTCGAAATTCCAGTTCCAAGGGGGTGAAACCACCCCTCAAATATTACAATATTTTTTATTTAAAAAACGGTCAAGTTTCCGAAAAAACGCTTAAATACGTATATTTAATTTTGTTCATTTACATATTTTAAGATTTTTTAAAAATGTATACAGGGTGTTTCGAAAAATCTGGTCATTGATTAATCACGATCCTGCTTAAAGCGCTTGACGTAAAAGCTGATTTTTGGAAAACGGATTGACTTTAGGGTGTGTAAGAAGGGATCTTTCGAAAATCGAATTCTAAGGGGGTGAAACCACCCCTCAAATATTAGAATATTTTTTATTTAAAAACTGGTGAGTTTTTCGGAAAAACTCTTAAACAAGTATATTTTATTTTGTTGTTTTACATATTTTAAGATTTTTTAAAAATTTTTACAGGGTGTTTCATAAAATATGACCATTGAGTAATCACGATTCTGCTTACGTTTAAAGTTGATTTTTGGCAAACGGATTGACTGTGGGGTGTAGAGGTTCGATAAGGAGGGGTTTATTCTGTTATTCAGTGATCATTAAAATCGGTTTTCTTGAGTTATACGAGTAAATGGTGTAGAAAAACTAATCCGACTTTAATTTAGAATTAGAGAATTTTAGAAATTAGAGTAGAATTAAGAATAGAAAACGGCAAACAATCAAATCTAATAAAGTAAATATACATTATTTTGTGATGTATGGAAATATAATCGATAAGGATTAAACGAGATAAACTATTTATAACATTTAACAAGTGTAGTACGATACGTCAGAAATTTTGATTTATTATCAGACCACTCCACATTAATTAGAAGATTTTCATTAAATAAACATTGTTCAATTTATTTTAATCTGTCCAGCGATAGAATAAGCGATGTCTACAACTGACGTCCATAGATTAACAAAAAGAAATACTTTGCTTTAGAATTAAAATGACAGCAATCATCGGTTTCAAGCGTCCATTCTCAAAGTAATTATTGCTATCTTGGGAGTTTAATTTAAATTTTACTTATTCAAACCCGTGATAATTATGACAAAAGTGGCATTAAAAACTTGTGAACTGCAAAAACCATCGTGGATCGTGGCATAACGTCGCGTCGCGTGGTCGTCGGTTCCCAATGTTTCATAGGTATTTCACATACAAGTCCTTATATAAAATAAAGTTTCTTGTATGCAACACACTGTATTTTATTTATAAAATTAAAAGAAAATAATAATAAATTGTACTGAAGCTGTGGTTGGTTCCTTGTGAAACATCGTTGAAATATTAGTATTTTAATAAAACACGCTTTTAGATGTATCAAAAAACTTTTAATAAGAGTAACTTTAACTCTACATATATGTTTCGGCTTGTTAGGCCTTTTTCAAGAGTTTTTTAAGAACTAATCGTCTAACTACACTGTAACTATATATATTTGCTATGGGGGTGGGTTCAGAGAGTTTACAATAGGGGTAATAAAAAATGTGTTTAGAAATCCTTGTTGGTCGTTAACATTATTTTCGTTTTTAACAGATTTTAGTATTTCTAACTGTTCAATGTAATTTAAGCCTCTACCTTTTGTTTCTCTGTGTACTAACTTAATTGAATTTTCATTAATTTTGTGATTATTTACTATACAATGACTTGCAAGACCAGAACTATGCTGGATATTATTAATAGACTTTACATGTTCTTTAATCCTTATATTTAAATTTCTACCTGTTTGGCCTATGTACACGGCATCACAATCATTGCAATCCACCCTATATACACCCGACTTATTTTTGACATTAGTTTTGTATTTATTATTTAATAAAATTTGACCTAAATTTTTTTTATTTACGTTAATAGTTTTACATCCTATTTTATTGAGATTATTTGATATTTTGTTAGTTAAATTAGGAATGTAGTTTAAAACTCGATAATTGTTATTGTCTTTAGAATTAGCGGAATAAACATTTTTCATTAATATTTTCTTTTGTTTTTTCTTTTTAGCATATTATCAATAAGGGAACACTTATATCCATTGTTGATGTTGATGGCGATTTGTTTAATAATATTTAACTCTTTTTTAAAATTCTCTGGGCTCACTGGAAACATTACTAATCTATGAATTAAACTATGAAAGGGTGACATTTTGATTTGCCACGATTGGTGTGATTGACTATGTAATACAGTGTCTGTGGGAGTGGGTTTTCTGTAAATATCAAATTGTAATCTATTAGACTGTTTTATAATTGTAACATCAAGAAAATTGATGGTATTAATACCTTTTTCAATAGTAAATTGTATTCTCGGGTTAATTGAATTTAATAATGTTAAAAAACTGTTTAAATTTCTCCCGGTGCCTGACCAAATACAAAAAATGTCATCTACATATCTTGCCCAATAATTTAACTAACAAAATATCAAATAATCTCAATAAAATAGGATGTAAAACTATTAACTTAAATAAAAGAAATTTAGGTCAACTTTTATTAAATAATAAAGACAAAACTAATGTCAAAAATAAGTCGGGTGTATATAGGGTGGATTGCAATGATTGTGATGCCGTGTACATAAGCCAAACAGGTAGAAATTTAGATATAACGATTAAAGAACATGTAAAGTCTATTAATAATCTCCAGCATAGTTTTGGTCTTGCAAGTCATTGTATAGTAAATAATTACAAAATTAATGAAAACTCAATTAAGTTACTACACAGAGAAACAAAAGGTAGACACTTAAATTACATTGAACAGTTAGAAATACTAAAATCTGTTAAAAACGAAAATAATGTTAACGACCAACAAGGATTTCTAAACACATTTTTTATTACCCCTATTGTAAACTCTCTGAACCCACCCCCATAGCAAATATATATAGTTACAGTGTAGTTAGACGATTAGTTCTTAAAAAACTCTTGAAAAGGCCTAACAAGCCGAAACATATATGTAGAGTTAAAGTTACTCTTATTAAAAGTTTTTTGATACATCTAAAAGCGTGTTTTATTAAAATACTAATAAAATAATAATAAATTTAAATAAACAATATTTGGGCGACATAATTACCGAAACAGCCGAACCAATCCGAAATTATCAAAATCTTTGGGTCGTGACCGTTGCAAGAATAGCGCCAAATAGTGTTTACATTTTTCTTATGGGCACTTTCCAATCTAAACTTGTTTCATTTATCTATGCTATGTCTATGTATCTAGTCAAGATTTTCTACGTAAAAAGTGCCTCTAATAAAAATCTATTAAAAAATGCAAGCATAATAGATGCAATCTATTAAAAGACTTTCAAGAGTCTTGCAGTAAAACCAAGACCAAGACTACTGATTAGACTGCAAGATCAAGACCAAGACCAAGGGAGTCTTTGTCTTGCATTTCCTCATAAGTACTTTAGCATACATAACATTTAGTACTAGAAAATGATCATTATTAACTAGTTTCCACCCAATATGTAAAAATATAGGAAAAACAGTCACCTACCTGCATAATAAATCATTATCGAAAGCTTTGGTTATCCTGTTGTCTACTATGACCAAGTCGTGGGACTTCGTTTGGTATTCCTCCAGAGCACTAATGTCCGTATGACAAAGAGTGACTTCGAATCCAAGTTTTTCGGCGGCTTTCGTGAAAGTCTCGGAAACTGGATCCAATTGAGCAAAAACAAGAAGTAACTGCAACAGAAAAAATCAGGTTCTGTAAAATTCTACTCATTCTCGAATATTGTAGAACGGCTCTACACTACTCTCCAAAATAGCCCGATACAATAGATCAATGTTCAGTCAGGGTTATACCGTATTTCGTATTCGTATTATTTCGTATTTCATCGCCTAACATTGCCTCGCCTGGGCTTATTTTCTTCAGACGAAGAAACACGCAATAACCCTTTTCAACATTCGATTTTGACTTACTTCGGCCTACTTCGCGAGTAGTTTAGTGGCCGTTTAATACTTCTGCAATACGTTATTTCTAACCCAATTGCGTAATAAAAAAAGTAACTGTAAATAACCTCTACAAACGCCCAGATGTTTCACGCTCAGTGCAAACCTGATTGGTTTGGTTAGGTTAGGCTAATTTAGGTGTGTGTAAATGAGATCGGACCAAATGACCCCTCTTTACATACATACCACAAACCATTCGAGATGAACAAAATGGATAGAGGAATGTGGACAGATATAACATTCCTTCAGGATGGACTAACCTGGTATACAGACGGGTCAAAGACCGCTGAAGGAACAGGAGCTGGAGTATTATTTGGGGAAGAATCGAGGGTAAGCTTATCCTTTTCCTTGGGTAAACACTCAACCGTATTCGATTGTAAAAATCTTCGCCATCCTACAATGTGCGAGAGAAAACAATAGAAAAGCTTATTCAGGTAAGCTCGTCAATATATGCTCAGACAGTCAGGCGGCACTTGGGGCGCGTATGAGCCCAAAGGTATCATCGAGACTCGTCTGGGAATGCCTAGGTGAACTGGGAGCTCTGGCACGAAGGAACAGAATTAAATTATTCTGGGTGCCGGGCCACAGTGGCATCCAAGGCAACGAAAAATCCGATTAGCTAGCTAAGCAAGGATCATCGGCATCCTATCTTGGTCCAGAGCCAGTACTGGGAATACCCAAATGTATGGCCCGTAGTGCACTAAAACTCTGGATCATAGAAAAGCAGAATATGCACTGGAGAAACAGAGAAGGGCACAGGCACAGCAAGGCTTTTATCCAAGGACCTAGCTCTAAAACCGCAAAAGAACTGCTAATGCCTAGCAGGAATAAAGTGCGGATTAGAGCAGGCCTCTTGACAGGACAGGACAGGAGTGTTACCTGAACAAGCTCAACCTGTATCAAGGAAGTATTTGCTGCAGACTCTGCGATAAAGATCCTGAGACAGCGGAGCGCATAATATGTCACTGTGAGGCTCTGGATCGCAAGCGACACTTTTTATTTGGGAAAACTAGGCTAGAACCGGAGGAACTATGCTCCCATCCTCTCAAGGACCTGCATAAAATAGTGCAGGGCACAGCGATAGGAGAATGAGTGCAGATATAGAAAGGGGACAAACACAATAGGCCTCACAGGTCGCAGTGTTTCCGGCAAAGGACGGCCCCTTGTTTTGGAAAAAAAAACTGATTTGTGCAGGCATATTTCCCGCCAAATGTGCAGGTTGTAGACATCACCTGAGCAAAATTAGACTTTCCTTGAATTAGACCTGTGCAAACTTTGAAGCTTGATCGTGTGGATGCTTGTTTAGTCCAGTCTACTATTAATTTGAAGTAAAAATTCGAACTCGAGTAAATGTGTCAATTTATGTAATTAATTACAAAAAGCTTATCATGTTTACGGAGAATAAAAAGTAAGGAATGTAGTGAGAGGAACATTTTTATACCATATACAGGGTGAGTCGACGAGTGATGTATTTTGGCCTCAGAAACACGATTATGAGATTTCTCTCACAAAAAAATGAAAATTTGCAATTTGCATTTTTGGTAATTGTTTTAGTTTTTAGTTAAAAAATATAATTTGTTGATAATATGGCAACATAGATAGTAGATTAAATTTACAAGAAAGAAGGTTAAAAAAAATTCTAGCAAAAAATATTTTTTTGGGAAATTTTCAAACTAAATTAACTCGGTTATTTTGGATTTATTTGAAAAACGGTAAAGAGAAAATATGTTTCTATTATCGAGATCTACCAGCCCTGAAAATATTTGCACTTATTTAAGACTCACCCTGTATAAAGCATCATAGAATGAGGTATAAAATCTACATAGATAAAAATTTGATCGAAATGTCCCACAAAATGCTGTTAAAAAAATTCAATATTGAATATTTAAATTATACTTCTTCTCTTAAAATCTATCTTAGAGAAAACCTGAATAAAATATTCCACGGTTGTTAATTAATAATCTTAATTTATGATTAAATAATATAACGCAACATTATTAAAATGCATTTTTTAAAGCTTTCCATTAATACAGTAATGAAAAGCTTCCATTCTTTACTTCTTATTCTTTGAAGCTTTTAGTAGGTACTTTTTTGAGATATTTTTTTTATATTGATATTTTGTACTTTCAATCCATAAAAAAAAAATAAAAAGAATTCTATACTTACTACAAAGATTTACTTATAACAAAGAAAATAAAATAAAAATATAAAAATTTTCTTCTTGTTATAATAGAGAATGGTGTTTTAAAGTAAATACCTACTATTTTTCTCTGCAGCTAAAAAGGCTAAGCCTTTTTAAAACATGCTCCAGTAATTAACCCGACTTCACTTATTAGAGAAACAACAAATTAAAAAGTACATCGGACGCCCGAGGGCGTTTTGATAATGCGATCTTTCTTTTAAAGGATTTTAACGTTTTGTTTCTTTTACATTCATCCAATTTAGAGGAGAATGGGAATTTGTCCGTCGAAAATAGAATTACTTTTTTTGTTTTGTATTTTCTTTTTGTGTTTACTTTTATTTTAAATTTAAGTCTCATCCACTTAATTATAGGAGGAACGGTATAATTCAAGTAACTTAGTCATAAAAGGAATTCCTTGTTTATTTTCTAGCACCAAACGAAATTTAAAAAACAGCATTTATCTTTAAATTGTAAGAAATATACAGGGTGAGTCTTAAATAAGTGCAAATGTTGTCAAAGCTGGTAGATAAGTCCAAAACAGTGATGCCAACTCGTAGGAAATTTCCCTATCCATGGGAAATTTTGAGATCCATAGGGAAAAGGGAAAAGTTAACTCAAACACGATATTCGTCGGAAATTCTAAATTCATGTATTTTTGGAGCATTTGAAAAATAGATTTGATCGTCTAATGTTTTTAGTGTCTTGTCCTTGCCGGTTAAAAAATGTCCAAATCTTATTTTTAACCATATATCAATTTTTTCAAATGGAATGAGGGTGGCTCATTAGCATATTTGAAAAAATCATTTTTTACGTATAATTTGATACCACACACTTGGTATTTCGAGTCAAATTGTCGTTATGAACCCCATGTTAGATTAGATTAGATTCTTAGAGGTGGCTTTCGGCCTGATCCACTGCGACCTTCTCAGATCTATTGTGGTCCTCTTCTGATCCTTAGATTACATTCTCCAGTCCTATCCTCTTCACAAAGTTTAGCAACTTGGAGACTGAACCCTCCATGTAGCTCCTTGGCAATGGCCTATTATTGCCTATTACCGAGAACCGCACATTTGCCAGGCTGTCACACCGACATAAAATGTGTTCTGACGTTTCTTCTTCAGATTGGCAGAACCTACACATAGCTTCGTCTGTCAATCCCATCAGCTTTAGATGCCTATTTAGCTTACAATGCCCTGTTAGTAGACCTACTACAGCTTTGACTGTCTTTCTGTCCTTGCTTATCAAGTCTACCGTGAATTTTGGCGAATGTTCTACAATGAACCTTTTCGCCTGTCTCTGCCCTGGTGAGTTTCTCCACCATTCTAGAGATTTGTTGGCCACCAATCGTTCCGTGGCCATTCTCGTGACCGCCTTTGCAACGCCGCAGAAGGGTTCTGGGCCTATGAATGGCATTGATGAGCCTTGCTTGGCCCTTTCTTTTCGTTACCCTTGTGACCCTCGTGCCCTGGCACCCAGGCCAACGTAACAGTGCTACGTTCGCCCAAAGTATTCAGAGCACGCACACAGTCCCACACTAGTCTAGAATTGACCTCCGCGGAGCTGAGTGCCTTTAGCGCCGCTTGGCTGTCTGTGAAGATGGCCACAGAACGATTTGTTCTTTGTTGCCTTATTATTTCTTCTACACAATAGTGGATTGCCGTTATTTCTGCCTGGAAAATTGTGACATCCTTGGATAGGCTTACGTGGAAGGATCTCCCTTGTTTCGGCCCTACTATCCCAGCTCCTTCGCCTTCTGACGTTTTTGAGCCGTCTGTAGACCAGGTTGCCTCAGCTTGAATGGGTACACCTTTACTCCAGTCTTCCTTTCCTGGTATGGTTATATTAAATTTGTTGTTGAAGCTACACCTAGTAGCTGTTGCATCAATTGGTAATCCCAATACTTTGTCTGCTTTTAGCTCTTCGATTAGCTTCTGGTTAGCAGCACTATGCGTTTGGCTTATGTGCTGCCGACCGTGAATTAACCTGTGCATGACAGATCTGGCTTCGCCTTATATGAAAATATGTAGTGGTGGTAAGTTCAACCAGACTTCCATCGCAATTGTAGGAGTGGTTTTTATGGCCCCAGTTACACACAGGCACGCAAGCCTTTGTGTGGAACTTAACAGCCTTACTTGGTTATCATGGGTCTTACTACCCTTGTGTATAGCCATAGAGTCATTTTAGGGTAAAGACCCCAGTTTTTCCACACATCCTTCTGCATCTACCTAAAGAGATGGTAGCCCTCTGTGTTGCTTTCACTATGTGAGTATTTCATGTAAGCCTTTGATCAAAAAATATCCCAAGATACTTTGTTTCTTTGGCAAATGAAATCTCCGTTTCTCCTAACACTGGTGGTTTTAGGCCTTTTGGTGCTATCTTTTTTGTAAAATTGATAATTTGTGTTTTCTGAGCATTGACTGTCAGTCTCTCTTGTTTGCACCACTTGTCAACTTTGTTTAGGGCAGTCTGCATTCTTTCTGATATGATACCAGCAAACTTGCCCCTGACCACAATTACGATGTCGTCTGCATATCCTAGGCAATAAAAACCTTGTGTGGACAGTTCGTTGAGGAGGTCATCTACCAAGGTTTCCCAAAGTAGAGAAGATAACAATCCTCCCTGTGGACAACCTCCACCCGCTACTGCTTTGATAGTAGCTTGCCCCAGGGTGGAAGTCACTATCCTGTTTTCTAAGGCGGCCCTTATCCATCTACATACCACTGCAGGTGTACCTCTTCTACTCATTGCATTTGTTACCCCATGTCACAATTTCAAATAAACCATATGCGAAAATGTCAAAAGTTGAAATATGAAATGTCATTCTATTCAGAGTGTCATTTTCTATCGAATAAAATTAAAAAATACCGAGGGTGCCCTTTAAAAATCAAAAGTTATAGTCATTTTCGGTAAAACCGGAAGTGACCGAAAACAATTGAATATATCAATCAGTCCTAATTTATGTCATATACTAACATACCAAATCTAGTTGATTTATCTGAAAAAAATAAAAAAGTTATAGCGGTGAGCCGCTTTTGAGAAGCACTCGGTATATTGGATTTGAAAACTTGTGGGAATTTATAGAAAAATGGAGAAAATGGGGAAACACCAGAATACCTTATCACTGAGTGCGTCCAGATGACAACCATTCGTGCCATAAACTTTGGTACGGCTGATGTCGAAGATAGGTAGCTGGCCTCTGTGGATCCGTCTCAGATACTGGCTTTTGTCAAAGCCCTGAGACTGTATGATGAGTTATAACGCGTTGAAGAAGAGAGGGGAACACACAATAGAACTGCCATTAACCCCCTCCTAAACATTCTACATTCTATGTTACCTTTTAATAAAGACATTATATTTTTTATATAAAAACTAAAACAAAAATCAAAAATTTTTCCAAATTTTCAAAAAAAATTCGCATAAAAAAAATATAGAAAAAAAATATACTACATCTAAAAATATTTGAATTTATTTAAGACCCACCCTGTATATTTCAGTCATTTAAAAATAAATGTATATGTATTATATCTTTAAAATATTGGAAGAACTGGAATACTAGAAGTGTTCTGAAGAAATGGATCATTGAAAGAAATATTGGATTCATTAGAAGTCCGAAAACAAATCTTTCAATTATTGTACACAAAAAACTATCTGTCCATAAATATTTAATCATACATAATAGATAGTTTAGATATTGTTGGCTTACCTTCAATTGATGTTTTATATTAGGGATGATTAGACCATATTTCAGTTCGTTTGGGCCCCTCTGTAAAAAAACAAAATATTGTTAATAATAATTATCAACAAAATTTGACTTTATAACTGTTTCAACTCTTTACTTATGCCGCTTATTGAATTTTATGACGCTATATATTGTTTTTTGCAGAAAACCAGTTTGTATTTACACCAGTTATATAAATATGCTGTCACCAATGTATTGTTATCCTGTCGGACATTTTATATTTGTGATAACTTAAACCATTTATCTTAAATGATATTTTAATTTTAAATCAAGGAGACAAGTAAAAATTAGCAATGAAAGAGCAACTAGCAATAATAGCTATACTCTGAGGGAATGGCTCAAATCCATTTTACGATCGGACTTTTTACGGACTCGCTGCCGCCTTTTGTACTTAACAACACCACCATTAACGTCGTAAAATCTGTACAATTCTTAGAGCTTGTTGCAGACAATTCTCTGAAATGAGACATACATATCGACGCTTTGTCGAAAAAAATAAGCTCTACCTGTTTTGCATTAAGATCTGTTTCTAGAGAGCTTAACTTGTCAGTGGCTAGAACTGTTTATTATGCACTTTTTGAGTCGCACCTTAGATATGCCCTGCCATTCTGGGGTACGTGTTGTGCGACTAAATTTGACTGCATTTTCAAGCTCCAGAAGAGAGCTGTTCGATATTCACTGGGACTAAATAGCAGAACACATTGCCAGGACTTTTTTAAAAAATTAAAAATATTAACTCTTCCTTCTTTATTTATATTTGAATCCGTTTGCCTAATACGTAAGCATGTATCAGCTTCTCAATAAAGGCCATCTCACACTTATCCACACAGGAACGCGGAGCAAGATCTTTATCTACCTACTCCACGCTCAGAGTTAGTTAAAAGTTCAATATTATAGAACTCGAAAAAAATGCACAAATCACCTGCCATTTGAAATCAAATCCATAACATCATTTTCTTCATTTCGCAAAGCATTGAAATCTTATTTACAAGACAAGGCTTTCTACGCCGTAAATTACTAATATTTTGATAATCGAATTTGATCTTGCAAACACTGGTCTAATGTTTGCTATTACTATATTTATCAATTACATCAAAATGAATTTATTTAGAGTTCATTGATAATTACTATAAACTTACTAAATATTTTTGAATCTTATTTTTATTTTTTTTATTCTTTGACATTGTAAACATTTATAAATGTTTATTTTAAGCAATAAGACTGACAATGTAATTTGTATAATGTTTTGTATTCCCTTTTGTTTGTTTACTTTGTTTGTTTACTTTACCTTTGTCTACAAATTGTAAAATTTTTTGACAATAAAGGCATTTATTTATGTAAATGTCTTCTTGGAAAATCCATTGGCATAGTTATTAATCATTTATAAAAATTTATGGATAGGTTCGCTTGTAGTCAAATACAACCATTGATAAAATCAAGAAATATCCGACTTGCCTTTAGGTGTAATTATATTTTGGACTTAGTTTATCTGTTATGGACAAGAGCAATGGTACTCTAATAGTATGATTCACTCTCAGAACGATTTGCAGAAATTAGTTAAAGCAATAGAATTAAATTAGAACTTATTATTCTTTAAAATTGATCAGTATTAGATATCCCTTCTATGTACCTTTAATATAAAATCGTAAACTAACTTGAAACTCTTGCCTTTGGAAGCTTAACTCGTATCTTACGGTGCTTTCTGTCTGTGTCGGCTTGTTCCGAATTACCTCGTTCGCGTGGACTTGAAAACTTCTCGTTGGGTGAGAAATCCCGATTTGTTTCCGATGCCATATAGATCTTGCTGGATTGGTTTAAACCTTGGTCGCCCATTAACGTTTATAATACATCGTAAAATATACCTAAGTGTAAACTGTTTATAAATACTTAGAAAATGACGTTAACGGCGGAATAAATGTCAGTTATGATAGATCTAGAGTCTAAAACATCTATTTGGTTATGTCTAAAGCCGAGAATACACCTGCCGAATGTTACTGTCAGGAGAAAGTCTTTCTACAGAAAAGTTCTGGTCCAGTTAGTGGAGTGTTAGCTCATTTACTAGTTACACGGAAAAAAATCATTTCTATATTCAAGAACAATCATACACTTAAAATTTTACACTGTCTTTAAGGATAGTATTCTTTCCATGAGTACAACAAATATTTGGAACTATTTTACTTTTACACTTGCTTTTTAAATATAGTTATAGTCACTTTAAGTAATTTTGAATCTAAAAAAAGAATAAAATGACTTATATTTAAGAAAAACTTATATTACCATCAAGTGAATAAATCATTTAGTAACGAAGAAACTATTATTAAATGAAGTATAAATGCTTTTATATAATAATAAGTAGTATTCTTAACTTTTTAAAACTTTTACTTGAAATCGGTGTATTAAGACTTTAAATAAGTATATTATTCTCGACGCGAGAGTAACACTCCATTTCCAAGAGTTACTATTCTTATATTAAGTGACCATCCCCAACAGCAACAACGCAACAGTGCATTCCTGATTCCTATCTTCATTTGGTTTCGGTTTCTCCTCTGCGACACGAGACGCGCCGCGCGCCGGCTACTTTATATAAAGTTTTTTTGTTATCGTTTGTGCTTGTGATATGTTAAAATGGAGGACCTCCTTCAGGCATGGGAGATGACGGATTTGATCCCAAAATTTCAAGGTAATTTTAGCAATAATCCTACATTATTTGATGACATTGGTTTGAGGTTAGGGGGACTCCATTTTAATATGCATTATTTCTTATACATTGGTGGTAAACTTTCAATTATGTTTTAACAATTTTTATTATCGTTTCTCGTTTTCAATTAGCGATGCCGCTGTTCAATATCTACCTATATTGGGAAATTACACACTTTTATTGTATTTTCTTATTACGAAAAGCATATAATTTGGTAGGTGATGTTTGGTTAATCTAATTTAAAAAGTATTAACCATATTCGGGGTTATTCTGGTGATATTTCAATATTCCATACCTATTGGAAATGGAAATTAAAATTTTTAGCATGTCCCAACTCTATTATATTCATGTATGTTACCGGGCAAACCCGATTTTAGGATAAACTAGTTTTTCTTAGGACGAATATTAACCGGGATCGAAAAACTATATAGTTCTTACAAAATTCGGTAACGTGTTCCCTATGCTTTCGGAGGTTCGGGTTCGATCTTGTTAGAAACTCTTGTTTTGGTGTTTTTCTTAATTTCCATTTACAATAGGTATGGAATTTTGAAATATCACCAGAGTAACCCCAAATTAATGCTTTTTAAATCAGATTAGCCAAACATCACCTACCAAATTATATGCTTTTCGTAATAAGAAAATACAATAAAACTGTGTAATTTCCCAATATAGGTAGATATTGGACAGCGGCATCGCTAATTAAAAACGAGAGACAGTAATAAAAATTGTTAAAACATAATTGAATTATTCCAAACGCGTACATACCTAGTTTACCACCAGTGTATAAGAAAGAATGCATATTAAAATGGAGTCACCCGAACCTCCAACCAATGTCATCAAATAATGTAGGATTATTGCTAAACTTACCTTGACATTTTGGGATCAAATCGTCATCTCCCAGGCCTGGAGAAGGTCCCTCCATTTTCACATATCACAAGCACAAAGGATAACAAAAAAACTTATATAATTTTATAAACTACCTAGTCGGCGCGTCTAGTAACTAACCTAAAAGTAAGAAGAGGCTTTATTTTATAGTAGGTGATATTATAAACTTGAATAAAGTAATTATTACATGTACACAAAGAATTTCTATACTTAATGCAATAATTTGCTAATTTACAAATAAGTAATTCGAAAGAGACTAGTACTCGAAACAAGATTTTATTTTATTTCAATACTAGGTAAATCTTAAATAAAAGATAAATTTTCTTAGCTTCTAAGGATAAGGTTTTCTTGAAAAGAAGTATAACTAGATTTGCGGAATGGGGAAACTAGCATATCGTTGGTTCAAGATTAATAATCTTTAAGCCAGTTTAGCTTTTTTTCCGTGTAAATTGTTTGCTTTTTCATTGCCTTCTACCCCTTGGTGAACAAGCAGCCAGAGACTTTATTTTCTTTGCCTAATTTGTTCGGCTTCTCTAGGAATTCTTTGACCAACTTCGAATTGACGATTACTGAGTTGGTGGCTTTTAATGCTGCTTGACTATCAAATAACATATTTTTTTCTTGTTTCGGATAGTTCTTATCTAAGATAAATTGTACGCATCTTTTGATAGCCCCAATTGGTTCGGAGTAATAATATTCCTATCCCTGTTCCTCAGTTTGGTTATGGTATGGTCTTTTACCTGTTGAGAAAACTCAATCATCGAAGTTTACGAACAGAAGTTATGATTTAATAATTCACTAGCTACAGAGGAAGATTGGAACTTTTGGTACTGAAACATCAAAATTAAACACTAATTGATCACAATACACCAAAAACACTACATATTTGTACTGGACGTGAATTTCGCTAACCATGTTAGCATCATCTTCTTCTTAGGTCGACGTCTCCCTTCGGAGGTTGGCCAGTTGGCTATGATGATGCGTAAAACCGCACTTCATTCAATTACCAGTCTGAGCACCTTGTATCGATCACCCCTCATGATGTGCCTGACGTACTGTAACTTCTTTTCCTTCACTGTTGATAGGAGCTTTGTATCTTTGCCCATCCGCCTGAGTACCTCCTTATTTGTCACTCTATCCATCCAGGATATGCGCAGCATACGACAACACAAGTACATCCTAATAGCGCTAATGCGGTTTTCCAATGGCTGATTGAGTGTCCAACTCTCAGAGCCATAGATAAATACTGGAAAGATGAAACAACGCAGCATACGTATATGCGCACTTCGAGGCTTAGATCTCGGCTGGAGAAGAGCGTTTTCATGGAAGCAAAAGTACGTCTGGCCTGTTCGATCTTCGCCAAAAATTCAGTTTTGGGGTCGCAAGCGTCGTCAACGAGGGCTCCTTATGGACGATACTTATTCTACCACCTTGTTGTTAA